TAAGCTTGGAGCAATCCCACTGTTGAACCCCTGGGTCTCTAGAGCAGCAGTTCCCAACGCGGTGTCCACAGGTGCCATGGCACCTCCCCGAGGTTTATTCAGGTGCCTGCATGCATTTTCACAATCAGTAAAAATCATTATTCCAACAAAAAATTCTGTCAGTGCTGATTGAACTCAGAACAGCAACATTTCAATTTTTTTTTTTCACAGGCTGTATGCAACGCCTGCCAAAATGAGACTGAGTCAGTCTGACTGATGCAGTGATGGAGTGGTACTTACTACTCCCTCCCTGAACAAAACTATGCGCATGCGCATATCCAGGATTCTGAATTCTAAACTTTAATATTCATATTAGTGCCCACTGTTTTTTCTTTTAAATTCAAATGTGCCCTTGGGCACATAAACGTTGGAAACCCCTGCTCTAGAGCATACCTGCAGACCTCCTGCTGCTGGGATATACCACCACCATGGGGTAGACTAGTCCTAAAAGTTCTTGGAAGCCCTCTGAGTTCCATCCCCTGCCAAGAAAACCCAAGGCATCTCTGTGGATACACAAAGGGGAAAGAAAGTGGTCTTAATACATGTGAGACATAAGAAGGGACAGTGTCACCCAGCCCCCATGGACAATCAGTAATTGGGAATAAGGGGGCACATCTACACAAGATACTACTGTGCAGTCATTACTGCACATTTATTTAGTACTTGTATTAGCAAGTACTAAATAAATGCAAAGTAACCAGAGTTACTGCATGGTAGCGCTGGTGAACATCTTTTAGTTGTTGCTACTGTGCAGTAGCCTAATACTACCGTGCAGTAGCGTATTAGCACTATGCATGCTGTGATGCACTACTGTACAGCATTTTTCAGTTACTGTGCAGTCAGCAGCTTATGTAGATGTGCCCAGGAGGTGGGAAAGACACCTTGAGAAAGCAGCTAGTACAGGCAATGGGAAAAAACAGAGCCCTCCTTTCCAAAGAAAGCCAGATAGGAGGGGTGCTAAAAACAACCTCCTATAATGGGGTTTTGGAATTGGGGGAAAAAAAACAGTGTAACTGCATTGGAAACTGGTTGCTTGAGGACTGATCCTCCCTTCTGCCCACCCCACCCCACAGCCCCCTGGAACAGAACAGTCCCGTTGATATCCCACTACTGCAGTTTGCCAGAGGGTAAACCAGTCAGCTCTGAGGCTATGACTAGACAGCTATGTTCAGTTTGTGTAAAAAAAAAATGCTTTGAATCATAGCAAGATAAAATATACCTCTGTCAAGACTTTGTACCATTGATAAATTCTTCTACAAAGGAAAACGACCTCTAGTGAACATTTCTTTAGATAACACCTCTGGAGGGGTAATGCTTCTGGGAAATGCCTTTGGAGAAAAAGAGGCAGAAATAAAGTGCCTCTGGGAGAAAAACGCTTCTGAAGACTTCTGTGGATTCACCATGTCCCTTGACAAAACCTCCCATATTTTGTCTCTGAGCTCCTAGACAAAGTTTTTATAGCTTCAAGCAGAGCCCAGACATCCCTGAGGTGAACAAAAACTTACTATGCTCCACTGCAATTAAGTCCAACACTATTCCTTCTGACACTTGCATCAGCTGTTCACTCTGTCTCTCTGCTTCAAGGTGCTGTGCTGCTTTGTTACGCAGGGTAGGGAGGAACTGGGAGGAGAGGTTGTGTCTGGAACACAGTTAAGCTCCCACTCAGTGGTTGTAATAAAGGAACATAGTTTAGATCCATAAGGGAGAAAGTTTAAATATATATCACCCTCCTCCATGAACTATTTACCAAACAAACCAGAATAGTAGATCTCAATAAAACTGAGCAGTGTGTGCGCAGTTTAGGGAGGATTCCCACCCGCATGTAGCAAGGAAGAGAGTTATTAGAAGTGTGTAGACCAAACAAGAAGTACAGGACTGACAATGTCTGTTTAACTTAAGTGAATAGAGCCCAAATCTCATTTTGGAACATAGCATGGGAAGAGGCCTCCTGGGCGATTGAGTCTGATCTCCTGCATTTGCATGCAGTCATTTACCCAAGCAATCCCCAAAAATCTCCACTTCACATAACTACAAGGCACACTACTCAAAACACCAACATAACATGCAGTTGTTAAAAGCGGGGGAGAAAAAGGCGCTACCAGTGCCCCACCACTGCAGTGAAATAGAAGCAATAGATTAATATATTCTCAGAAGATCCCAGGAAAAGAACTATGGACATCAACTCATAGGAGGCTATCACTCTGGACCACCCTAAAGGGAGGAAGAGTCTGCTGCAAGGATCTCAGTACTACTTTGAAGCCTTACGATAACAACAGGAGACGAAAAAGTGGGAGTGATATGTAAATGACTATGGTGCTAGTTCTCCAACTTTTGAAAAGTTTTCTTTAGTCAATTTACATGTCCCTTAGAGCATCAGTGTGTCAAAGACCACATTAAGAAGCCAAAGCCACCCACCCCACATGGAAACATGTGCCTAAGTTGATATGTGTCAATTCTGGATAGGCCTCATCAGCCTTCTTTGGACTCACAGGTAAGACAATCATGGAAGACAATCATCCCTGACTGCGAGAGGTTGTCGATAATGGACAAAAGAAGGCAAAAAGCTCACAGTCTGTGACAGTCTGATTGGAGGGAAAAAATCTTTCCTGGCCCCAAATTTGGCACTTACTATGACTCCAAGCAGAAGAGCAAGACTCTCTACCCAGGAACCTTTCTCAGCTAGCTTGCCTACAATGGTAGACAAATAGAAAAAATCTGCTGAGAATTGGCAGTGTACAATAGCAGAGCACAGTAGCATTTTTAATGGAAAATATGAATGCACAAGTAAACAGGTTTTTTTGGCCATAACTTTTCCATCCAGATACTTTTATGGGTCCTATCATCATAGCACCTGAGTGCAACAAGAAATCATTAGCTGTGAGAAACACAGTAAACTAGACTATTTACTAAATGTGAGCTAGTTAATGAATTAAAGAAAATAAGTCATGTTTTCATAACAGTGGGTCATTTTTATAATTTCTCACTTATTTACACATCAACCAAGGTAGGATTTAGGTAAGCATGTTTCAAATGGAGATCTGGATTGATTAAAACAGGAAATCCTCTTGTTAAAATGTGGGGTCATTTTTACTATCCTTTATGCCAATGCAATTCTATTGACTTCAAAAAGATTTATTCACAGTTCATTGCAGCATGAAAAGAATACCTGACCTTGGGCATATTTTTATTCCTGTGCAGTGTAGAAGTAGCATTTACAACAATTCAGCTTGACTTCAGTGATAAAAAGAATATTTTATACAATCTTTATGCAGATGATTCACCTTGCTGCACAAGTAGGCAAAGGCCAAAATTCATATATAGTAAACAGTCTTCTTCTGACTATGGTGTTAGTTCTTTGTCTTTTGAAAAGCTTTCTTTAGAGCCAATTTACATGTCCCTTACAGCATCAGGCTGATTCATATGAAGAATGCTGTTAGTTATAGTATCAGTTGCTTTGCTTTGCAGTAACTGGTAACAGCCTGCACACTCTTACTTTATGGTAAATAGAAGATAAACTGGGTTAGCTAGCCCCATTTTGACTGAGGCTTAAGATAATGCAGTAGCAACATGCACAATGGCAGTTACTGAGAAACAGTTGAGGCATAGGGTGAAGTTACACATTACATTTAGACTATGCTAAATTTGTGCAATGTTAAACAGTGTTAGAGAGTGCTGTGAGATTTAAGGGCTGTCCACATTAAGGGTTAATACCATTTCTTCACAGCTCTGACTTGCTCTAACTAGATTAGAGGGCTGGTGAGCAGGGGCATGGATAGAAGCCAGCACACCTGGGCTCTATCCCTGCTTTGGGTGAGGACTAGGGGAGGCTGGGAACACTGTATCCTGGGATGCTGGAGGACTGCAAATTGCTGGTTTTAACTCCCTGGAGCAGGCTGAAGTCACCCTAACCTGAGCTAGGTAGCCCAACCCAGATTTAACCCTTGCCTGAAGTGGTATAACTTTGCTCAGAAGGCACTTAGCACGAGTTAGCAAGCTTTGATAACACTTGAAAAGTCCCTTGGGTCTTGTAATACTGACCAGAGCAACACATAAATACCTTCTAAGATTTCAGTGATTTTTAGACAAGCACCTGCCTCCCACTGATGAGTGTTACGAACCAAAGTGCTTTTCAAAATCCCACTAGCCATCTGTCTGCATCTTTAGGTGCCCATATATATTTAAAATCTCACTGTAAGTCACTTTTGCAAATGTGAATTTTACTCCTAAATCACTTAGATACTCTTGAAATATTTTACCACCAATCCTGCTGACTTCCCTTGTGCAATTTCAAAGGGAATTTTGAACAAGTCCGCAGAACCATATCCTAAGATAATATTTTGACATGTTATTATATATAGGTAGCTCCAGAAACTAGAATAGATCTCTTCACAAACCATCTTCTTATCCTTAAAATAGATAATACTTTCTATTTTTACCCATGCATTCATTCCATATGTCCTTTCATTTAATTCCAATAGAGATTATTCTTTTTAACGTTTGTACTGATCTTTTTTGTTTTGTATTGTACTATTTTCTATTAAAATAATGTTACAAATGGGAAACGTATTATGGTTTTTAAAAAGAGAAAACTATTCCCTTCCCAGTTTAAGAAGCTTTTGGAAATCCGTGCAACTCTTCTTTTTTCAAAAAGGATTGTGTTTACTGAAAAACAGCAGCAGATTGCAAGATCCTTGATATGAATGTCCTCATGAAAATCACCTGAAAAACAGCACCGGGCTTATATGCCCACAAGCTGACCTTCCTCTCATTACACAAAAAAATGCTCTGTTTGAAAGTCAAGTACGAGATAAGATCAACATGACAGAATGGTAATTACGTTAAGTAATATTCAGTCATTATGCAAAATGTACAGTTGATCCAATGGCTTAGGTGTAGGCAGAAAATGCCATCTACTTTACTTGTATAAAAGAAATGGCCAACTTTTTCTTCTCATTCTGACAGAAAGGTACATCTTAGCTCCAGGAACGGTGCACAGAAACTACAAGCATCATTCAGATTCTGAGTCATCTGCTCTTATCTCATTGAACAAACTGAAGGAAGGTAGTATCTTTAATTCTTATTGCTATTACAAAGGAAAAGTTCGTATATTTGTCTAAATATTTATTTTTCTTTTCAGAGTTCTTATAGGCAAATATTCATCTAAAGGGTTGAGTTGAAAAGAAGGGTTGAGAAGGAGGGTTGTACTGGTATAGATTGGATGGAGAGGTTAGTTCCAAAACTCTATTGAGCTTTTACATCTGACTTCTTATATGTTGTGACCAATGATCCCAGGCATAGTTGATATTCTGGCGGTAATCATGGGTTACTTATTTATTTAAGTCATAGGAATTCCTTTTGTATCAAACATTGACTATTATAGAGGTTTTGGTATTGAAGCATGTTCTAAAATTGACATTCATAATTTAAAAGAGAATTTTGGGCATGATTCCATGTACTTAAGATGAAAATATGACTCACCTTTACATTATATTTTCAGGCAGTTATTAAGCTCTAGCTTTTTCATAGTAAGTCATAAATTCTAATGTCACTCAGTAAAAAAATCTGGAAATGAAGAAAAAAGTGAATTTCAATTTGGATAGTGTCAAGCGCTGTGAAATCACAGTCAGTATACGTAAAAAGGTACAGTGATAATCCCATGCTAAAATATATAAACTATGAAATGAAGATGATTATTTACAGTCAGCTCAAGGCAAGTCCATGAGGCAAAGTGCACTGGCAGGCTTGTGCAAGACGAGCTCTTTCAGTGGAACTTGACACAGTGGAACAGGAAATCCAATGTGCACTTGATTTGAAGAGCAGTTTGCATATTCAGTTGATCAGTTAAGTGAATGACTTGTCTATAGAACCAGTGGTGATGCATAGGAGGTGCACGGGGGTGCATGTGCACCCCCTGAGAGTGCTGGTGCATCCCCTGACTGGCTGTACTTGCCACTTAGGCGACGGGCAGGGTGGGGTAGGTGGGAACACTGGTGCCCCCCTGCAAGTGCTGGCCAGGGAGTGGAGAGCTGTGGCGATCCCAAAAGAGGCTGCAGTGATCGGGCAGCCGTCTCGTGATCAGCCATTAGGGGACCCCCCCCCCCCCCCTGGTCACGGGGGTAGCCGTGTGGGGGGCCCCCCCCCCCCACTTGGTCAGTGGGATCAGCTGTGTGGGGATCCCCCCTGTCAGTGAGAGTGGCTGTGGGGGGACCCCCACGGTCACTGACTGGTTGCTGGGGGGCACATGCCCCCCCAACTAAGACAGCACCAGTTGCCCATGTATGGAACAGGTTGCAAAGCAACCTTGTGAATTTCAAAACAAGAACTATAAATGCAAAATTTTATACCACAGTGATCCCAAAGTGCTGCCAAAACATACACAGCCTGTAACGTCCCATTACCTTTTAGAATAATAACAATGAAAGTTCATAATAAGTAAAAAATAAAAGCTCCCCTTGACTTGCTGGTAAAACTAGATGAGTGAATATGGATAGCAGCTAACAGGTTTGACAGTCTGGTCACTGCCATAAAACCAAACAAGCAGAAGGGATTCCATATGAAATTCAGTGTAACAACAAGAGTCCGCACCCTGAGCAAAAGTGGTGGTAGGATTGGCAGCAGGAGCCAGGCTGGTTGTTACAGCTGTGGGAGCTGGCTGGCAGCAGCTGCTGTTTCTACACCACCTTTAAGTGGGTGCTTGGGGATGGTGCTTAACTGCTTGTTACATTACTACTATAGGAACATTTGACAAGATTAAATCTAGGAGTCAAAATGCAAGATAATAACTCTCTTTTTTATATACAAGTTGAGGTAGGCTAGATGCAGAAGAAAACCTGCAAAACTGCACTTTGCCAGTTCCTCTGTTAGAGGAGGTCTGTTTAGAGAGCTTCCCTTTGCAACTGCTTCCACACCTGTTGTGTCCAGAGACATAAGGGTCTGTACCTTTCAGAAAATCTTTGTGCAAAGATGTACCTCAGGGATGGCCAGTCCCTGATGCAGGTGCCACAAGTGGCACAGGCAACTGCTGTGCATGGTATGAGAGTCCAGGGACTCAGTAAAGGGAGGCATCTGGATGGAGACAGGGAGCAGGTCCCTTCATGGAGAGGAGTGGTGGCAGGATGCTGCTGTGAGAGAAGGTGCCAGGTGTCACCTCCAAGAACCAGGTTAATGCTTCCCTGACCCTGCAGCCACTACTGAATTCAGGGCTTTGAAGTCTTACCACAGAAAATGATCTTGAATTGGCAGAAAGGCTTGTCAAAGCACCAGTGTGACTGACATTTTATTGAGGAGCCTTACTGATCATCCAAACACCCACTTTGCACAGAGAGCGGTCCAAACAGAAACAGTAGATCCAAACTAGCCTCCCTGGTCCAGCTCCTGAATTTTGGGGAAGATCTTGGTTGTATGAAACCTTTTACCTTTTTAATTAACTGGATAAGAACACCTAATAAGAGCAGCTGTAGGCTTTGAGGAACTTCACATTCAAATCCAGATTGAATTTTTGGGGTGGTTTTTTGGATGGTAATGTTTTTTCTTCCTTTTTATTCTTTGCAATTCTCGGATTTTAAGTAAGTGAGCCATATTTACAATTACTGTTATAAATGTAGTAGATTTAATTAGCCATGTAAAATCTGGGACGGCGATTGACAAATACAGACATGGGTGGACCTAGGGCTTTGAAAAGCTGGGGTGCAGATGATGTGGCGCATCACCACATAACACAACACATTTTGCTCTAGTGACAGGGAAACTACCAGGTTTAAAAATATGTTTGGGGCCTAGCACTATATTATTCTATTTAAGATCAAAACAAAAACAAATATATCTTTATTGGAAAGTGCATTAATTTGCTAGATTATACATAAAGTTTAAAAAACATAAAATCTAGGCAAAAATAGTTAAAAGCTATTGTTTTATTGGTCCTGTTATTATTGTTAAATGTACATCTCTTGTTCCGATTCATAAAGCAAAATCTAGCTTTCTTGAGCTTCTTGATAGTGGCTCCCATACTTCACTGGCAGCCATTTTATTAACTCATTTTAATATTAACTCATTAACCTGAGTTAATATTAGTACACCTGAATTAAGGTTTTTAGCTAGAGCTAAAATTGTCTTCAGAGTTGTCAAATAGAAACAAGACATTACCAGGAATGGCTAACAGAGCGAAACTGCAGAACTAGTTTGCATGGTGGAACATCGAGACCATTAAAAAAGAGAGTGGGTCATTAACACCTGTGGAGTGAAGAGTGATTTGCAGGAATCACGAAGATGACAAGGAGCCACAAAACCAATTGACTCCCTCAGCACTGCCAGAATAGGAATGCTGCTGCCCTTCCCAGACAGTTGATTTTAAAGTTAAAGGAGCAGGTATCAAAGGTGGCCACTGCACCGCTGCACTCCCCTTGGATCCATCCCTGAATACAGGTACATTGATAATTTTGTGATATATTCAGTGAACATATTTGCTTAGTTACAATCTGTGCATTTCTCCCAGACACTAATGGGTTAGAGATTTTAGCTAGCTGAGCAATTTGCCAGAGGTAAAAGTCCATGCTGTTTGTCTAAGAGGGGTAGAGCTGTCAATTGGTGACAGACAGAGGGGACAAGGCTGAACTCCTCAACGAGTTCTTTGCCTCAGTGTTCCTAAGTGAGGGGCACGACAAGTGTCTCTCTGGTGTTGTAGAGAGGCAGCAGCAAGGCGCCAGACTACCATGCGTAGACCCTGAGATGGTGCAGAGTCATTTGGAAGAACTGGATGCCTTTAAGTCGGCAGGCCCGGATGAGCCCCATCCGACGGTGCTGAAGGCACTGGCCGACATCATTGCAGAGCCACTGGCGGGAATATTTGAAAGCTCGTGGCACACGGGCCAAGTCCCAGAGGACTGGAAAAGGGCCAACGTGGTCCCCATTTTCAAAAAGGGGAGGAAGGAGGACCCGGGTAACTATAGGCCAGTCAGTCTCACCTCCATCCTTGGCAAAGTCTTTGAAAAAATTATCAAGGCTCACATTTGTGAGAGCCCGGCAGGACAAATTATGATGAGG